TCTCAAAATAGTTAGGCCCAGAAAAGCTTTGGCCAAAACTGCTTCCATTTTGTATATAAAAATTAGGAGCAACAAAACTTTGTCATGTTAGTAAGGGATTTTGGTATAAATCTACATAACTTTGTTCAAAAATCCCAGTAGATGGCGAAGGGCATAAACTTCTAGGCTTAATAAGCCTTAATAACTTGTTATTTTCATATGAAATATTTACTTGGGAGTTATTTGAAGGATCTTTCGGAAATTCCATTGGTAAAGAAGAAATAAGAAAGAAAAAACGCGTCTAGTATACGTTTTTTACGCATACTTTACCCTTATTTTATCAACTCGATCATAACGATCTGCGTTTTTGGTGGGTCAAAAAATTAGCTAGTTGATCGTTCTTGAGGTGAATTTTATTTGCCAATTTTAGTGTAGCCCGATCAAAAATTCCGATCGAACAATTATGAACTGGCCTAGTGTTAAGCAATATGAACATTTTTTGTTATTGAAAGAAATTTTTAATTTATTCCATTTGTTTATTTTCGAGAATTAATATAAATTTTTTTTTTTTTCTTTACAAAAAAAATTTTTTTTGAGCAAAATTTTTTTTAGAACGAAATGTTTTTGAAAAAATAAAAATTTTTTCATAATGTTAACCAAAGTAGAATTTTTTTTTTCGGGCCATATTTTTGCCGATGCATTAATCTGCATTCTATTATTTCTATTACAATTATAGTGATATAAATAATTATTAATTAAGCATTCGTATTATATTTGTCAGTAAATTTAATTGTGATCACCAATGATCGTGGTAAAATAGGACGTAATATTGAATATCTGTAAAAATATGCAAATAAATTTTTATTTATTATAGATTTATACATTTGTACTTTTATAATTTATTAAATATACATCTCATTTTTTTTTGCCACATACGGTTAAACTTTAGTATAACAATACATTAATTACATCATGATCAGTAAAATCTAAAAAACATCAACATCAAAATTATACAAACGTGTTTACTCTTTAAGAAATAATCATATGTATTAGGCAGGTAAATTATAATAAAATGTTTTTTAAAAAAATAAATTTTTTCTTGAAACAAAAAACGAGATTTATTGGTATCTATCTATATAACTAAAAAAATTCGGTTAAACGTTATAATAAATAATTTGAATTGTGCAACATGAAACGACGAAACGTGCAATGCATCTGCGCCTGATCTATTCCGTATTTATTATAGTTAAAAATAATTTGGTTAGCTATTGCAATTCCGGTTATTTATTTTTTTTTCGCTAATGAGATGATGCTAACGAAAAAAAAAGTTTATTTCATCTTATCAACCGTGGCAGATCGATTATCGAAGCTATCCGGTTACCTTTCTTTTAAATACCTTTCTTTTAACATTTCTTATTAGACTGAATTTTTTTTATTATTTCGGTTCTTTTTTTTCAAACCAAAAAAAAAAAACATTTAAATTATTTTTTTTTTATTTCCATTTTTTTCAATACCGAAAAATAAAATTTTTTTTAATTAGTTTTTTATAAATAAATAATAATGGACTTGAATTTAGTAATAAATAATTATTGGAGATATCGATCAAAGAACGATATCCCCATCCAATAACTGAGTTATAGTTCGATCAATATACTACGGTGATCAATAAGTTAATGCCATTAATACTGATTTCAAAATCCCGCATATTAATAAACGACTGAAAAATAAAAGTTTTTAGTTGATAAGAGTATAATTAGGATTATTTAGGATATCAAAAATGAAGTTCATGAGCTTTGAACCAAATTTTTTCATGTCATTTAAAAAGTGTTAATTTAAAAACTTTATTTGTATAAATATTAATATTATTAAAAATTAATTAGAAAATGTAGTATATTTATTCATTTTTATATATTATTGTATGAAAAAATTGTTTGGAATGATATTTTATAGGTTGGTTTATTTAATAATTTCTTTTTTAAAAACTAAAATTGAATGAGTTATCGGAACTATTCATAATACATTATTTGTAATTAAATGTTAATAATAAATGAACAATAAAGTAACAAAGGCAAGAATTGGCAATCAAAGTTAATATTCATAATTTCATAATTCATACTGCTTGAAAATCCCAAGTAGCTAAGCATCAAACAAACCAGGATATGTGTAAAGTAACATGAATTTTACTTACTAGATTATAATGTTTTCGATCAAGGTCTCGATAAATGATGAGCGAAATGCACTTATTTCTTTCATTAAAGGTTGATATAAGTTGGTAATATTAAGTCTGGAATTTAAAATTAGTTGGTTACTTCATTTGTTTATGAAGTTTATAAAAGCAAGTAAATCTATCCGTTATTGCAAAAAGCTTGTCAATTGTCAAATGATGATTGCTGATTTACTGATGGCATTTTGTACTCAAAATCCTTATCCTTCAAGCTATTCGGAAAATTATTATAATACTTTAAAGAATACTTTATATATTCTTTAATTTAACATTTATTTATTCAGGAATTTTCAGAATGTGATTAATATCATGTTCAAATTAGCAAATGGCTTACAGTCTGCCTGTTGGAAGTTTCCACATAATCATCTTCATACTATAAACGTCAGATTCTTTAAAAAATGAAGTCCCTTTTAACATTTTTGGTGCAATATATATAGTATGTTACCACTATAAATATCTTAGAAATTATCATAGGTATTATAATAAAATACATTAATATAAATTACCTTCTGAAATTTTCCATAAAATAATGAATTTGTTTTATTCAACGTAATTTTCACCTAACTTAAGATCTTTTGTAACACCACGAATTCCGTTAATAATATGATATTGATTAATAACAAGGATTTTAAATTAAATTATTTTGTTAAATGAATAATATAAGTACTTAAAAAATACGAATATTTACTACCTCATCTAAAAAATATTTGCTGGTATATTGTGAATCATTTAATTTTTTTAAATTACACTTATTTGAACCCAATTTGTAAGACATTTCCTTTACGGGATTCCTTTACACGTGTAAATCGAGAATATGTTTATAGATTTAAAGATTTAACCAGGCGATATCATTATGAAATAATCTTTTGTAGATTAGATGAAAATATATCTTCAATGTTGGTTATATTTACTAATATTGAAAATCATATTACTTTCATGCTTTGTCGTTAAAAAAAAAAAGAAAATCTAATTATTTTTTGTTTACTAATTGTAATTATTATAATTATATAACATTTATTTATTACATTTTACAATAAATTAAATTACTCATATAGCTAACTAAATTATAATTGTTTAAATAATCTTACGTCTAAACTATAGTAAAAAAAAAAAAGTTTAAAATTTTGAAATTCAAAACAGTATTTTAAAATTTATCTCGATTGAGTTGATTTGGATTGCAAAGAAAAGAAAATTTTTGTTGACTCGATTTTAAAATTATGTGAATGATTGTTTTTGATCAATTTTAAATTTTTGTAACGTCAAGGAAACCTTTTTGCCAATAATATATGATTGATTAGGTAAACATAACCCTAACATGCATAGTTTATCAAACATACATTATTAAGAAATTAAACGTATAAAATATCCTAAAAAAAAATCAAATATAATATAAAGTTTATATTTTAACATATAGTAAATATAAGTAGCAAGAGATAAGCTATATAGAATATAATCTGTCAAAATATTCAATTTAAATACTTTTTCTCGTTAGCACCTATTATTTTGACAATTAATTAAAAGCCACCAACTATACTAGGCAAACGGAAACCGTTATAGTTCGTCACTTATTAAATCACGTATTACAAAAAATAATAAGTATTACAAAAATTGTATTGCTAAAAAAAGGGGATACAAATATAAAAGGAAATGAACAAGGGTAGTTTATTCAAAAAAGGAATTATGACGTAAGTGGATGGAAGGAAGGGAAGGAAAATTGTATAAGTTACAGATCAAAAGTCCAAACCCATCTAGTACATAGCAATAGGACAATAAATGAAAAAAATTATTATCTAAAAAAGATAATATTTTAAAATAGAAATACCTTTCATATTTCAACTAAAATTAGATCTATAAAAAATTTTATCTGTTATTTCTGTAAAAACTCCATAAAAATGAGCTTTTCACGGATCCATTCACGGAAAATGTAAATTATTCAATAAATTCCATGATAATTCCGGAAATATGAGCTTTTTATGGAAAAAAGACCACGGATCGTCTTTTTTTAACAGAAATTTATACTATTCTGATTGGTACATTTACATTCTTTCTTCAAAGCTCTATTCTATTACCATTGATATATTAAAATATTACTATGTCATTATGTTACATCCCATCATATAGGGAGAAATCCCGGATTATTAATTTTTGGACTATACTTTCCTGATGCATTGATCTATTGTTTACATTAACAAATTATAAATGTCATAAGGACATGCTCATAATCCTATTTTATTTACTAGTAGAAAGAGAATACGTGTCTACCAATTTTTTTGAATAAAATGCTGATAAAAATGCGTTTTATAATCTTAATGTGAGAAAGTAAACAAGTTTAATTTTGTTAATTTTTTTTTTATTTTAGAAAAAAATGAACACCTATTTCACTTATTTACAGCAAACAGAACCACGTGATTATAGTAAAGATATTTGTCACATGTCACACCCCTCCACTTTTCATTTTTAGTAGATATTCTGGGGACTTGAATTTTTTCGGTTAGTGAAAAACTATTTGTCATACCCATTATTTGTCACAAGTGTAATTTCTTAATGCCGTAATGCCGGCCAAAACTACTCCGCTTTAGACGACCTATAGTTGTAATTTCTTAATGCAGATCAGTGCATTGAGTGTATCGGAAAAATACGGACCGAAAATTTTTTTTTTGTTGTAATTTCTACTTTTGGTTAAAATATTTCTTTTTAAAGCTTCATTCATGATATATTACAGTTAATAAGAAAAAATTTTTGTTAAAAAAATTTGTCTAGAATTTTTTTTCCAGTAAAACAAATTTCTAAATAACAAATGGAACCTGAATTTAATAAATTAAATATCTCAGACGAAGATACTGTTACAATAGACACCAAAAATTGTTTGTATTGTAATATACCTTTTACTGAAGAATTATGGTGTAAAGAATGTATTAATTCTTTAGAAAAATTAGCAGAAAATAGTGATAAAGAAGCAATGTTTAATTTGGCCAACTGTTATAAGAATGAAAAAACAACAGAAAAGAATTTAGAAAAAGCCTTTCATTGGTGTCAAAAAGCAGCAGAAAAAGGTCATATTGATGCAATGTTTAATCTAGCCAATCAATATTATAATGGAGAAGGAACAGAAAAGAATTTAGAAAAAACCTTTCATTTGTATCAAAAAGCAGCAGAAAAAGATCATATTGATGCAATGTATGGT